AATAAGTCTAGAGTATTCACGTTTCATGTATGGCTAAAAGAGCAAATGAAATACTTGCTTAGTATGGATCGTATTTTACTGTGCCCAGCCGCTGCGGTTCTACGAAAACCATATATGCAGTTAAATTTTCTTAATATCAGACAAGAAATACAATAACAACTTGAATTCTGGATAAAACGAGGAGCCTTAAGAAGTATATTGAAAGCAAATAAATCAAATAATGTTCATCCAAATTACGACAAAGCACACAGAACGTCGTTTATATATGTGTGTATATATAAATAAATAAATATGTATGCATGACAGGCTGTCTCGCTGTCTGATAGTGCGGTGGGGTGTTCAATTTTGTATTTTTCATTTTTTCATTTTTGTTTTGTTTTTCACTTTTTTATTTCGATATAAAAATAATTGCAGGAATTGTGTGAGACGACGTCGTTTGGCTGACAAGCAGCGCCAAGCCAACGGACAGATACTTGTTGTAGTTGCAGTTGCAGCTGAAACAGCAAAAGCAAGTGCAGGAGGAGCAGCAGCAGTAGCAGCAGCAACAACAACAGCAGCAAAAGACAGAGAAAACCAGCCAAAGATGTGGCCCTGGCAGAGAGCTGAGTTGTCGTATGAAACTTACTACACCGGAAATATAAAATTACACACTCAACACTTAAATTGTGTTTGCCCGCCTCACGCTGCATGTGTGTGCGTGTGTATGTGTGTCTCTCACATGTTGCATGCTGCACTGAAGATTCTAGTGGCTCGCACGGTGCGTGCTACACCAACAGGGTGCAAAACGATCGAACGTTTCGAATATTTTCGTGTAAAGGAGCAGAAAACAAACGTAATAAATGATAAAATTAATTGCGAATTTGATGAGGGTTAAAAGCCCGGAAAAATGTTGCACCTGAGTCGTGTGTTAATTGAACATTTAAGCAATATCAATTGGCATGAACATGAGCAAATCTAAGCTCTCATCTGACCATCAGCTCGCAGAGACAATGCAAATTCGAGGAACACAAAATTCCCACGCACTTGAACTTGAAATTCTTTTCGTTGGCGATCCTTTTTTACACACATATGTATTAAAATAAATGTTCAGATTTGTTTGTTTTTTTTTTAATGGATAAAGATGAAGAAACAGACCGAAAATGAAGAATGAGGCGACTCGAATTACAAACACATATTCGTCCTTTTTGGCGAGTCCTTGCTGCGAGCGCAGCCTTTACCTGCGGAACAGTGAAGAAGCATCTTGAAGGAGGTGAATACCCTGCATAGCTGCTGGGTCGGCATGCACGACCTGTCTGCCAGCATGCATACAATTTAATCTGAAAGCAACTATCACTTACTCAGGCAGCTCGCATATTTCAATGCCCCGACCAAGGACTCGTCGCTTGGCGTCTGGCTCCAAGAGTCGTGGGAATACGAATATTTTTGGTTTCCTTTTTAGCCTTTGGCTTAATTTAGGCTAAATTCTCAAGCTGATTCGGTTGGGTCTTTCGCACTCTTTTGCTCTCTCTCTCTCTCTCTCTCTCTCGCCCTCTTTCTTTGGTTCTTGTCTCCCCTCCATCTTTTAATTCATTTCATTTTTTATGCAACTCCGTTGCGCTACTCCCACTAAAGCTGTGCGAAAATTGCAGAAAAAATGAGTCGTCCGCCAACTGCTTAGTCACCTGACCAGGTAGCAGCCCGAGAGTAATTGCTTGACCGCTGACGATAGCTGATAACAAAGCCGCTCAATGTCTGGCTGCCACATCGAGGGTAGCTATCGAGCCCGGCCATGTGATTCCCCTTCCGAGCCCACAACATTTACGTACAGATATAGAGCGATAACACCATGTAGAGCTATCTTTCGTAGTATTTATTTCTGAGAACTACTTGCATATCTATGACTAATACCTTGCTATCATCAAAACAAGTCCCAATAACGCACTGTCTGTGAATAGCATTAGCCCTTAGTCGCCATCACAATGGTCAGGCATTTACATCCAATTTGTGGGTAGCTATCTTCAAGCGACATTCCTCTTCTCTGCCAGCTGCCGCTGCTGCTGCTGTTGCTGCTGCTGCTGATTTAATTGTCGTCTTTCAATTTTCATTTCATTCAATTAGCCTATGGAAATCTGACAAAAAAATAAAGAATGCCCTTTGGAAAGAGCTGTGCGCGTGCGCATTGCGTTGACATCTTTAATTGTGCGTCGCTGGTCAGTTAATAAGTTCGTCAGTCAGTCAATCAGTCAGTCAGCCAGCTCTTTAATTAAGGGTAGGCGGTACAAACACTAAGTCTAATTGCATTTGACTGAGAATCATAAAGGCATTATAAATATTTATGGCGAGGCGAGCTAAGTTCTCGTTGCAGTTGAATTTCTGCTTAAAAATTTCAATTTAAATCTTCATTCTCGATCTCCGTATAAACCTTGTAGATTGTAGTTAGCTAAAGCTGCTCTGCTGTATGTTTATTTTATGCTTTTATAAGCAATTTAAAGTCTTGATTTTCTCAGAAATTTCACACAGCAAATTCTACAAAATATTGAAACTAATTAACTTATTTATAAACGCAGCTCTTTTTTCCAGCTAAGCAGGTAACCATATCTTAAAAGACAAATGGCACACACTAAATACTCACAGGAATATAACATACACAATAATAACAACAAAAACAACAACATCACCTATAAAAAATGTTTATTTAGCAAACGATCAACACAAAATACAATTTATATAGACAGGCCAAAGTCAATCGATAGCTAGAGTAGTTGAATGTGTGTGTTTATGCAGACTGGAAATCCCCGAAAAGAGAGAGATAGATAGAGAGAGAAAAAAAATACAAAAAATACAATTGTAGAGGTGAAGCATGACAGAACTAAGTGCGTTGAGATACCCTGTAAACTGTTCAATTTTATGTTCAGCATGAAATTTGATATTTATATAAGGTGATAAAATATATGATATAAGCTTTAAGATATTATAGAAAATATGGATAAGCTAACAATCGCAATGATGTGACTAGGCATTGCCAGATTTAGCAAAGCTTGGACCAAACCAAATATCATAAAAAATGCAATGCTAAAACCAAAAGCGAATCATATTTTGCTTGACTATTGAGATACTTATACAAAGCTAAGACTGCTTTGTTATTAAAATATATAGAAAGATAAAGAAATCATCAAACTGCAAGCTTAGCTTGCACAAGAATCTATATGTAATATAAAAAATATAAGATATATATTATAGCTGCAGAAAGCAAAGCTCAAGGCTGACTATTCAAACTCTGCAATACTCTAAGAGCCAACTGAAGGCAACTCTACTAAAGCAACTCTAAAAACCGATATACCCAATCATCTAACTCCATGTAGGCTATGGCACCACAATCAGCTCCAAACCATTCTATGTAATAAAATTGATGATCAAACGAAAACTCTCACATGAATGCATTGGCAATGATCGAGGCGAACGTGGGCAGGGGCTGTGAACGGAACTGAGATCAATCGTCAAAGAGTTGAATTTGGGTTTTTCTTCTCCTTTTTTTTGGTTCTTGCTAAAAGCGAAATAAATTCATTTTTAATATGTGTGTGCCACACGGTCAAAGCATTATTGTTTTTCATATTTGTACAGCACAACTTTATGGGTATATTGTTTCAGCAACCAACAACAGCAACACTAGCAACAACAACATTAAAGAACACAAACAGACTGCGCGGCGTTTTCGTTTCATTGAATTCGCGTGCTGCCTTCGACGGAACTTGTCATGTTTACAAACAACAAAAGCTCACATTATGCTAAAATTCGGGAAAGAAATTACCAAATATATTTGGTCTACTCGTGTTTAAATATGTATATAAGTCGATAACTAAATGTGGCAATAGATTTGCCCAGAAAATGGCTGCACAATAAATTCAACCTAAAGAAAGAGAACGAAAAGCGCATTGTTTATTTTCCAAGCGATTTTCCAGCAGTTGAAAAATAACATCAAACGACAAAGCGGAAAATGAATAGCGCAAAAACAGGAAAAATAATGGAAAAAAACAGCCAACAAAAACGCATTTTTATGATTTTCCAAAACGATTTCTTATATATATATATATTTATATATATATGCTTTGAATAGCCACGGCAGCTTCTTCCTGTCCAAGGCATCTCTGTTTTATTCTGTCGCAATTAAAAGCCTAAATAATTATGACATACAATTATGAGCTGAACAATGGTTTGGTTTTTTGATCGGCTTCAGTTATGAGCAGGGGTCGGAGCGGCGGCAGTGGTACGAGCTGTTATTGCAGTCGATAGATCAAAGCATTCGCTTTCATGTTTGTTGCCATTGCACTTGTTGTGGCTGCACTGCGTCTGGGCCGCTCGAATGGCTCGGAGTGTGGGCGGCAGCTCGTGAGGTGTGAAGAAACTGGCGAACGGAAAGCAACTGAGTGTCTGATATCAAACAGACACATTGGCAACTGTTTGAAGTGCAGTCATCGAGATTATGATTACCTACTATATACACACACACTCAGGCAGCACCGTCAGGCGTTAATGGGCCTAATGCTAACAACAACAAAAAAGCAGCAATAAAAGGGGCTGGAAAAGGAAATGCATTACAGTCCGATCTGACTAATTAGCACTGAGTTTTGGTAAGTTTGAATTTTTAAGTTCAGTTCTTAAATTGCATTTTATATAACAATAAAAAAAAGTTTTGACTAAATTTTTTAAAATTTTGATAAGAATTTAATTTTATAAAATTTATTAAATGACTTTGAATCAATGAGTCATGGACAATATATTATCATATATCATATCATATATATCTTTATATATTTAATTTTTAGTTCCTTTTCTTGCTCTACAGTATTTCATTTTAACTTAAACCATTTTAAAATTGAAATTTGTAATTTATTCTGTTTTATATATCATCATCAGCAAACGTTGTCACAAAGAATATTAAATTTAAGTGTTTCTCAGCTGTGGTTTGTTCTTTTTCTTTAAATATTTAATGCTTGCAATTCTCAACAAGTTACGGCAGAGTTAACTTAAGTGAACTAGAAGTCATTCCCCTAGCTCTAACTTTGGGTTCAGGAAAGGCGAGTGGATTTCTATTCCGTCAGAGTGTTTACTTCGTGCTTAAGTGTTTCGGAAGTTCGAATACTCATTCAATATCGATTATCGTGCATTATATTGACTATTAGCTGAGACGTGTTAAGTAATAAATAAAATCGCATAGATAAGATTAAGCAACATTCCATTACTTGAGTTGATTTCATTCGAGCAACAAATAAATCATAAATTCGAAGGTTTTCAATGCCCAAATAAATCATAAAATATATGCAGAAAGCGAGAAGTGTAACGAAATTGATTGATCACCCAATTGGGCTAATCTTTCAGTCAGTTAATTGAATCAGCATACATCAGAGTTAGGCCAATAGAAATGCCATATAAACAAAGGCAGCTGCAATGATGGAGTAGGATATCCCAACGCTCGCAATGTCTGCATGCGTAGATCGTCTCTATATAGATGGTCGGCGCTGTCCACATAAATCGCATGAGCAACAAAATTTTAATCAACACTCATTAACTCTACAAGATCGCCGGCAATATAATTAAGAGAAATTATGTTTCCACTGGCGCTACGTTGACGTTGAAGCCGCAGTGGAATATGTATCTTCGACCTGTTGGATCAATGGACCGGCCGCAGTTGTAGCACAAGCACAATACAAGTTGTTGGGCCTGCTGCTCAGATTTGTTGTTGTTTAACAATTTCGCAATTCAGCTGTCGATCATTTCATTCATAAAATGTGCATAGCACGGCATGAGGGAGCCCCCCACACACACAGAGAGAGACACACACCCCACTGGCGATTCATTCACACAGCTCGGCTGATCTGGAAACTCGCACACATCCGCACATGCTGGGTTAATGCCAACCACCCGCCTGCTCGATCGGTCCACAACAAACGAAGTGATTAATTCATGTATTGGTCCTCTCTCTCTGTCTATCTCTCTCCGTCTGTCGCTGGCCAGTGCTAGCCCCAACCATTGGGGGGCCCCCAGCGTTTGGACGTTTTCTCAATGAAACTGGTTTCGTCAGTTCGATTGCTGCCGTTGCGGCTGCCGTTGCCTGTTGCTGCTGCTGCCGCTGCTGCGGCTGCTGTTGTTGTTGATATTGGGGTTTATGTTATTATATTCATCCTCACCTGATCCCCAGCAGCTGCTCATCCGGTCAATGTGAGAAAAAATACACAACAGCACACTGCAAAAATAGACATTGCACGAAACGCATGCAACTTTTTCTTTTTGCCAGAGCTGCACTTCGAGCACTGATCATTTAGCCAGATATTGAGCCAGTGCCAGGCGAAGCCAGGCGGGGCTGGAGCGCGTTGTGGGGTGCTCGGTGCTCGGTGCTCGTTGCAGCGTCAAATGAAATGCGAAAGCTGTTGCTCAGGATTGTATCTGGCATTCAAATCAGCTTTGCAAAACTTGCCAACAAGTGACCAGCCCAAGTCAACCTATTTCAGCATCCGCAGCGGTAAAGGAAGCAGCCATAAATAAGCAAAGAAAAGCAACAAAAAAAGAAAAAGAAAAGAAAAGAAGAAAACGCAGAGAGAGAAGCAGAGACAAATAGCCAACTAAACTGGAAAAGCTGTTGCTTTCCTTAACGCTCGCCTCCAACCGCCCCACTCCCACCTCAACTGCGGAAGTTGGCCAAGCATGTGCAAAACAGTTAATGCACACAGGATATGCTTCCGTGGCAAACAGGTTTTTGGCCTCGATTTTGTTTTCTTTTTCCCTATCTCAAAGTTATTAATTAACAATTTATTTTAGCCAATATCATTTGCATAGAACTGTCCGAGCCAGTTCTCTGCGTTAATTGGCTTTTAATCGCTTCGGGAAGCGCGCTTTAATATTTTCACAAGTTTCTCATTCCATTTTCTGATTCGGCATAATTTATGCAATGGGAAGTGAGCTTGAGATTTTCGATAATTAGAAATTAGAAATGCGGTCAGTCACCCAAAGCCATATGAAACGGATATGGCTTGATTCATGATGAACAAATTCAAATCAAATTGATTGAGGATTTTCAAGTTACCTCTGCAAATAATGAACTTTAAAGCTTTTTATATTCATAATAATTAAAAAAATCTCTGTAAAGGCAGCGAAAGGAAGCTGCCACATGACTGGCAGACAGAGAGAGAGAGAGAGGCAGAGGAGCGACACAACTGGCAGCAACTTGAGCTTAAGGAAGAGGCCGCATTTTAAAGCGCAAGATAAACTCGCTGGGATGCTGATCGGATCGCATCAGCTGCCGCAGTTGTTGCTGCTCAAATAGCGGCTACAACAAACAACACCAGCAACAGCCAGCGAGCGAGCAAGCGAGATGCTTGGGCTGCTTGTCCAGCAGGCGAAGCATCGCAAATACAGTAGCTGCAGCAGTAGCCGGCAAACAAATTACACACAATTCCAACTCCAAACAGAAACTTCACAGCATCCACACCGAACATCAGCAACAACAACAACAACAGCAACAGCAGCGACAACATTATTATCTCTGCTTTATGTTGAAGCTGCAAGAGGCAATGCCTGGCGCTTCAGCTGGCACCCCACTCAGCGATCATCATCATTGATGTTCATGATGATGATGATGACGATCAGCGTCGTAGACATAAGAACGAAAACGAATCAACTCGAGTGTCGTAGTTGTTGCTACTGTTCAATGGCTGTTGTGGATGGATGCTACGTTGTTCGTTCGGTTGCTTTTTCGGTTAGTAAACCGGATGTTCCTAATCATTGCTAGTTTGCCTCAAATTAAATATGCTCCATGTGTGTGTGTGCATGCGAGCTCGGGCATATAAGCAGTTACGTTGTGTATCTTTTGTTTGTGAGCTGTGTACTTCATAGATACGCAGATTATGGCCTGCACACACAAGCCTACTATATATATATATATAAATTTATATGTGTGTATATAGATAGATAGATATACGGCAAGCCACAGCGCAAATTATGAATGAATACTTCAAGAAGCTTGCCACTATCTTATTCGGCTGCTAATCGTGTGATTCTGTGACGCATCCATGGGCTTAACTGTTTGCCCAGCTAGATAGTTGGAGAGATAACAACTCTAGAGTTACTTCCGCCCGTTGGCAGTTGGCAGTCGAGTTTGCCAATCAACTTACAAATCGACTGGTTTATTCATTCATGCCCACTGGCTGGGAGGCCAATTTAATTGATAGAACTTGTCGAGGCTGCGACATAGCCATACACAACGCATAACACATTCATAAATTCATTTTTATCAACATCAATTAGCAATAATTATTCATTAGCAAACGAGTCGAGCTGCAAGTGACAAAGGCCTTTTTTTACTATCAGCTACTTGTTGAGATACAATCGGTTTGTATTTGCTGGCTCGAGGTTGGCGTATTGAAAAAGCAATCTGTAGAAACAGCTTCACTTTGTTTAAAATCTTGTACAAGTTTGCGGACTTACAGATTTACTAAAAAGATGGAAATATATATAGGAGTTGCCGTGCTCTACTGGATTTATGAGAATCACATAGAAGAGCGATGCTTCAAAACTTAACACTTATAGCAGCTCAGTAATAAGTGGAAACGTTGTGTATATGCGAGTCCTGCAGGCCCTGGTTGAATCTAGAAGGGCAAAGCTTAGAGATCTTTATTGTTTAAGATTAAGGCAAAATAGAAAGTTAAATAAGATATATTTAGTACGCATATATGTGACATATGAAAGCATACTACTTCTAGTTAAATTAATGTGAATCGCATAGAGGCGCAATGCTAAGAGAACTTTGCCTTTTAGGTGCAGCAGCAAGACGCATGCATCATACATGAAGCATAGAAGCCTCAAACGCCTACTTAAAGTTGATGAGAATCGCATAGAAGAGCGTAATATATTTGATTTGACCACAGTAAAATCTGCACTTAATCTCAATTTTTACGGCGCAAATAATATAAATACTTCAAGAAGTTGTTGCATCTTAAGTTTTAATTGAAGACTTCGCTGGCAAACATTTGACTACGTAAGCTGAAGCTTTGAAGCTTCAGGTTCTTGGCCTGCGAGCAACGCTGAGCGACTTATAATAGCTTTCACACACTTAAAATGAAGCCATAATAGAAGCGATTAGCCATTGTAAAGTCGGTGGCGGCTCTTAACAACCATTTGGAAACGGCATTGGATAAATTAAGAAATTTAAATCAAATGTATCTTTGAGATACTTTGTTTTGCTTGCTATTTGTTTTATGTGATTTGTGGATGCTGCGCCGTTTGGTTTGTTTGACAAATATGTGGCCATTAGTTGATAACAATTAAGACGTAGACGTTGGCGTCACTGATGCTAATGCTGATGATGATGCTGTTGCTGTTGCTGATGCTCAGACTGAGGCTGAGTGTGACGGAAAACATTTGGAGACTCGCCAAGCGGCAGCAGCGAGAGATAAAAACGCAATATTAATTGTTTTTTAAGTAAGATCTCAGTCGGTTGGCGCCTGCTGCCCACATGCGCGAAGGGGCTACACAAATGAAGTAAGCCCGTAACGAAATCAGTTTAATTTCCGTGCAGCAAATTGATAGTGGGCAGCTGTGATCGCTTCTTCTGCAGCGCGCAAACATAACATAATTCCGCATCAAGCTGCAATTTGAGTTCCGTAATAGGCCCACGCGAGCCACAAAGAACATTGCAACTGCAACGGCAACAACAGCAACTGGACAATCAAGTGTTGTCCAGTTGAATGGCGTGCAATGTGGAGCATCCACAGCATAACACCTGGCGTTTTGCCCTAGCCTCCGCTCTTGTTGACGGCTGCCGAGCCTCCGATCAAACTGGAAGCTGCACTTGGATTGTGCGTCGCTGAATTGCATTCAATTCCAACTGCCAGCTCACCCTTAGTCCGCCCCCAACCCCCATTGGCCCGCCAGAGCCTAGCATTTGCATATGCCCCGAGCGGGGCGGGCGGAGTGCCGCAACCAGCACATTGATCATTAGACTATTTTTAATAGAGAGACAGAGACCGAGTCTGAGACTGAGCCTGAGACCAGTTTGCCAGTTAGCTGGCCGCAAAAGTGGTCT